CAGCATAAGCCAGTCACAGAAAAGGACTCTTCTGACAAAAACGTTTATATCTTGCAAACAGCATATTATTTAAAGAATACTTATTCCACAGACTCTATAGAATCTAACCATTCCCAACTGGGTAAGTCCTCAATATCCCCTGGAAATCACTCCAGCTCTGTGGAACTAAATTGCTAAACAGGTTAGACTTTCAGCTCTCTACGTTTGTTTGTAAGAGTTTCAGAGCCCAAAATCAAACCAAAGCTAAATTCATGTAATAAAAGTTAGCAGTTAGTGGTTATTGTTTGCGTCTGCTAATTTTTTTGTGGTTTATCCATTTAGTGTTATCAAATTAAAGTTTGGCATTAGCGGTTATCAAAGGTACCTTTTTGGTTAACTCGCCCACCGCAGGTGCTCTGTAAAACAGCGAAGACCAGTGAAACTTTAAAGATGAGCAGGGAGTCTGGCAGCTCTGATATTGCATCCTGAAGGCTGCTGACCTCAGCAGTGGCGTAATCATCATGGTGACCCCATAATGGAGCCCCAGGTGGGGGCTGGCATGTGTGACCTTCATCTGTGACACATCAGCCTCCAGGCACCAATGTGTGATGTGCACACTTACTGCACTGATGTTTTATGAATCTGTCAAAATTCAGGTTCCAATTAAAATACAGGCTTTTAACGGGGCAGCTATATTTCATTGGGCAAACTGATTGAACAATAATGAAACAACAACGATGAAAATTCAACTACTAGTCTGGAGGCAGGATGGACGCCACGCCAAGTCAAACAAGGGCAAAAACCACTGAGGTGGAGCAAAGTTTGAGCAAAGCGGCACTGAATGACACCTCAGCACGATGTCTGCATCCAGGCGTGTGACAGATCATCAGTGGGAGTGCTCAGACACACAATAGAGCATGGGAGTGAGGAAGCCAAATGCACAAGAAGCATCATGTGTGTACAGCCATAGTGAGAAAAGTTCATTCAGTCAATCCCCAGTGTTACCGCCATGTTATCAGTCAGTCTCATTTCAAGCAATGATAATGTTCTATAAGTGAAACGATTCAGTCCAATTAATTTTTCATTTTTAATTACTGTTTAAGTACATACATCTGAGATCCAATTAAAGCATGAGAGGACTGGGACCTGAGAGACTAGCATAGGAGCTGCTGCTCACCAGTGAGGTTACAGTAAATCCACATTTCAGCATTTCCTGCTGCTCACCAGTGAGGTTACAGTAAATCCAAATTTCAGCATTTCCTGCTGCTCACCAGTGACCTTACAGTAAATCCACATTTCAGCATTTCCTGCTGCTCACCAGTGACGTTACAGTAAATCCACATTTCTGCATTTCCTGTTACTCACCAGTGACGTTACAGTAAATCCACATTTCACATTTGCTGTTACTCACCAGTGAGGTTACAGTAAATCCACATTTCAGCATTTCCTGCAGGTGTCTCATTGACATGTGACTGGGCAAGGCCTCATCATTGCTGAATGTTTGTTTTACTCACTCGCTATCCTCGCACGAGTCCTGTCCTAATGACACAGCCAATTAATTTTCTTCTCAGGAGACGCAAAACGTTCTGGTGATTGTTCCTTAAATAATTCCTCTTCCTGGATTACACCTTACAAACCCTTCATAGCTGACTATAATATCATAACACGATAATATAGCTGTTTTTGTGTTGTACTAAGACATTTTTACCAGCCTCATCACTCTTCTATGGTATAATATTGCTGCATATCTCACATTCTTGGTGTGAGAGCTCAAGTTACCTAAAGGAATATGTGTTTTGTGATTGCATGTAGTATGTGCTTAGTTAAAGGTATGTAGGGTTTATTAAGGGGCTGAATTTTCTGGAAACAACTGATGTCCCCACAGCTGAGCAGTGCTAACACAACAATGCTAACACCTCATATCAAGTACTAGGCCTGGTAGACCAATGTGCATCTGGCTTTTCATTATCCCTAAGTACTGAAGCACTTCACTGCACCGGTAATGTTTCTTACAGAAATAATTCAGCATTTATTCACAGTTACTCAGAGTGCTGAGTTCACAAATGCAAGAGAATCTGCATATCCTGCAGTCAGACAAATAAAGATCCACAATGAGCTTCTCTTCCCGCTTGAATCTGTTACATATCATGCCTTGCACGTGCATCCCCAAAATATACTTCTTATTTCAGTTCTTGTGATGTGTAGCACATGCCATGTGGTGAGAAATGTTTTGGCATCACCATGTGCCTGCAGCTTCCATAATCACTGCAGGAGAAAAGTCCAGATCATTTAATGATGCAAAAGATCTGATTACACCCATTAAACTAGGCCAATCCCAAAAGGGGGGGGGCATATGGTAATATAATTTTTGTCCCTGCCCTCCCAGGACCTCAGGCTAGTCAGAATCAGACCATTATTTAATAAATTCACAAATAAATCCTGCATAAAATTGAATTGGAAGCTCATTGTTATAGGAAGGAAATGTAGGGAAGCCATAACATGAAGTTATCAAAAAGACATTTTCCATTTTTTTATACACAATATGGGAATTGAGCCAATGTCAGTTGAGAGACATATGGTCCTTCACCTGAACGCTTGGCTATAATGCTGATTGTTCTCGCCGAGTTGCCTTCCTCTAGGCTTCTTGTTAGAATTTATAAAAACGTTTTAATTTGGCTAAACTGTAACTGGGTCTGTTAGAGATGTCATCTTCAAAAGAATTTAAAATTTTAATTTCAGCTGGACACATTACTAATGCAATTTCATAATGCAAAATAAATGTTATTTAAAATATACATTTTATATTGACTGCCAGAAAAGACATTCTCCATACTTGATTATGTCTGATTAAATAAATAATGCATGGGACTATAATCAATCTAAGGTAAGAATTACTCAGATCCAGGCAAGAATATTTAAAAATATTTAGAAGCTATTTTTCCACTGGCCATCCGTTAAGGAAAGGAAGAATAGAAATGACTTCTTAAGCTGTAAAAAAAATAGAGTACAAAATAAAAATTATCATAACGATAAATGATGGATGAAAGGGGGTCATTTTCGTGATAATAATCTGGTAACATATCGTTCCCCAGCAGCTCGGGGTGTGACACACCTCACACCCCCAGTGGCTCGGGGAGCGACCCACCTCACACCCCCGCTGGCTCGGGGGGTGACACACCTCACACCCCCAGCGGCTTAGGGGGCAACACACCTCACACCCCCAGTGGCTCGGGGAGCGACCCACCTCACACCCCCGCTGGCTCGGGGGGTGACCCACCTCACACCCCCGCTGGCTCGGGGAGCGACCCACCTCACACCCCCGCTGGCTCGGGGAGCGACCCACCTCACACCACCAACAGCTCAGAGGGCAATGTGCCTCACACCCCCAGCGGCTTAGGGGGCAACACACCTCACACCCCCAGGTCCAATGCACCTCACACACCACACACCTCACACCCCTGCTGGCATGTCCTAGGGTGCCCTCAGTCCTGAAACCCGTTTTCTGAGATGGGCTCCAGACTCACCGTCATCCCGTCCTATAGTACTTGCCGTTAGAAGCTGGATGGATGAATGAATCTGTGCCAAGCAACCAACATGATGCCAGAATGAGGTTAGTGCCACTCCCTCCCTCTGAAAACATCCTCTGCTGGCTGTCCGTCACTCTCCGCTGCAGCACAGGTGTGTGCTTGATGCTCACCTTTTGCCCGTCTTCTCTCAGGTTTGAGTCCCCTCATGTCACCTGTCTCCACACTTCAAATTGGATCCCACGGTCCCAGCGAGGCTCGTCTCCCTGCATTTCACACCTGCAGTGCCGGAGCCCCCGGATGTAACCAGAATAAAGGGGCCAGGCGCACTCATTATATGCTGTTTGTCACATTGTCCCCCAAACACCTGTCCCCTCCCCTGCAACTAACATAATAGTAAAACCTATAGATGTCCTGTGTATATGTGTGTGTGTAAACCATGAATACCACCCCCACTGCCCCTCCACCAGCACCCCCAGTATTACTTCTGACATGTTTGTTTTCTAGAATATTTATTTGGCTCTATTTTCTGGTTTCTGGGAGAGACTCACCATGAAAGTGCACTGGATGAAGCCCCCAGGAGGGCTGTATGTGGCTCAGCAGGTTAGGGTGCTGTGCCTGTCATCAGAAGGTTGTGGGTTCATAACCCAAGGTTAGCATAATGATTCCAGTGTTGGACCCTTTGGGGAGCCCATTAACCCCAATGAACTGTCCAACAGTTTTCTTGATCATACTTTGAATAAAAACATCTGCTAAATGAAAAAAAGTAAATAAACAGCATGGAAGATGGGTGAATATCTCCATCTTTTCCTTCCCTAGTCTTAACCCTCTCATTTCGACATTGAATTGTACAGTAGGCTGATCTCACAGCTGTCCTCTTTGTCTCATTGTCTTTTCCAGGGCCCAAGATCCTCATATTCTGAGCTTTGTTTTTAAATACTTCTTGGTCGAGGAACACTGAGACTTAATATTCTGTCCAGACTTAAGTCAAACAAATGTCTAAAAATAGTCCTTTTAAAATGTTATTGTATGTGTTCTGCTTCTGTATAATTCAGACCTCATTTGCTTGTCTCTTGCATCTTATTAATTACCCAAATATGATGTTTCCCCTTAGAACTCATCAGTTAATCTCCCTCAGCTTACATCGCATGCATTCTAATTCTAATACATTTCCATTAGAAGTATTTTTACATATTTTACAGCAGTGTTTCTCAAACCAGTCTTCGGGGACACTCAGGCAGTCCATGTTTTTACTCTCTCCCAGTGACAGAGCAAAAACGTGGACCGTCTGGTTGGGAGCGGGAAGGGAGCAAAAACGTGGACCGTCTGGTTGGGAGCGGGGAGGGAGCAAAAACGTGAACCGTCTGGTTGGGAGCAAAAACGTGGACTGTCAGGTTGGGAGCGGGGAGGGAGCAAAAACGTGGACCGTCTTATTGGGAGCAAAAACGTGGACCGTCTGATTGGGAGCAAAAACGTGGACCGTCTGGTTGGGAGCAAAAACGTGGACCGTCTGGTTGGGAGCAAAAACATGGACCGTCCGGTTGGGAGTGGGGAGGGAGAAAAAACTTGGACCTTCCGGGGGTCCTAGTGCACCGGGTTGAGAAACCACTGTTTTACAGTTTTAATCAAGGGGAGACAACACTTTCTTTGTCTGACTGCATCATTTTGAAGTGTTTTTTTTTTTCTTTTTTACAGACAGACGTCTGAATTTCACAACCAATACATAACATGCAGGAGTCTGACTGCAGGCTTGGAAATGCCCTGTATATACAGAAAAAGCAGGCTTCACAGCTGAATACAAATGAAATGAAAGTCAAAAACTAAAATGTCTCTCAATAACCGCAAGACAACAGTTTGCATGGAGCCTATTGCTTTGACCAAAGTAATTCAAGCTGAAAATCTTCCACTTACTAAACAACTGTAATTTTCACCTTCATTACTTCCGCTTTTTAAGTTTTGTTTTTTGTGTGTCTCTGTTTCGTTCCATGTTGTCCCAAAACAAACAGCACTGATTAGTTACACTGAAGATAGAAATGTTCCCTCCTTCCAGGTATTCTGATATCCATATATATTTTACACAAAGCCAGTTTTGTTCAGTATTGGTTCATTTGGACAGCTTCAAAAAGCACCAGTGAAACAGATTGGTCATGTTTTCCTGGTTTTACAGCCAAATCTTGATGCTTCCTTAACGATGTGGATCCAGTGAGGCTGTGTACAACACACATGAATGTGCACATGCACGTACAGAACACACACACACACAGATACACACACGCAAAGACAGACACACATACACGCAGATACACACAGGCAAAGACACACACACAGATACAGACACTCACACATGGAAACAGACACACAGATACACACACACACACACACACACATACAGGACAGAGGTGTGTTTACAAACAAAACACTGCCATTAGGAAACACCCTGCCGTACATGTGCTATGAATAAATGAAAATAACCAAATAGTCTGTATGTGATGGCAGAGCGGAGTCAAACGCTGCAGCATATGAAGTGAGTCTTCTACTTTTTGGTAATGCTGTCTGTGTAAGTCTCCACATTCAGGGCCTCAGCTGTTTGCTAAAACATGGAGAAATATCAAGTGTGGGTTGTTTGCTTGAGGAAAAGCTTTGACATATGCATCTTGGCTTGACTTCATCATCTGTCCAAAGGACGAAATTGAGAGCAGACACACACAATTTCCTTTCAAGCCAATTGGTAACTCTAGTCAGGCTGCTAGTTATGGTCTTTAAACCGTCGGCTGGCATGCAGTTTTTTGTAGAAAGGGTCTTGCTCAGTCTGTGCCTGACCACCATCCCGCTCTGGGGCAGAGAGGTGGGCCTTGCGGCGTAGGGTGGAGTCGCGGCCTCGGGCATCCAGTGGGAGTTCGGGGTGGGGGGGCGGCAGGGGCTCCTGGTCGGCCTCGCCGATGGATGAGCCTGGAGACAGGCTCTGGGTGGGGCGGTAGCTGAGGACGCAATCCCGGCCGAAGTCATTGAGCTCGTAGGACTCTGCTGCACTGCCATTGGTGGTGCCCTTCCACTCCCAGGGGCCGCCGTTACCCGAGGACATGTGGACCACAGGGTGATGGGGTGCATGGGCATCCACGGTGACAATGCCTGAGCCGTCGCGTTCGGAGGGAGGCCGGTACAGGGGCGAGTCAGTACTGGCGGTGGAGGAGGTGCAGGAGGAGGATGTCTCTGAGGATTTGGGTGTCACTGTGATGGGGCCATGCTGCTTGGACATGGCAATGACCTGCATGATGCGGGGCTGGTTGGGGGGGCGTACTGGTCCTGTTGCCGTAATGCCACTCTTCTCGGCAATGGATAGCCACTTCGCCCGAGTGCTGGCACTCTTGGGCGACACTGGTGGGGGTCCCGTGGACTCTTCTGGAATGTGCACCAACTGCGGGGCTCCTGGCCGGGCTGGCATCACCACCCTGGCGCCCCCTGCAGCCCCGCGACCGGCCTGCACGCTGGGGTACAGCGCAGAGGGCATCATCAGCTCCTCGTCACCGCCATTCTCTCCGACATCAGAGGCTTCCTCCTCACTGCCGTCTTGCTCCTCATCCCCCCGCAGGCCTCCCCGTAGCTCTATTGACTTCTGCTTCCACTCGGACACCAGCTGCTTGGAGCGCAGTGGGTCCAGTGGCACGTGCACGCTGGTGTGGCGTCGTGCCAGCTCCTCCACGCCGGCGTTGTTGGTGCGCGGTAGCGTGTTGCTAAAAGTCACCATGGTCTCCTTTCCCATGGGGCTGCGGGGGGCCAGAAGTTCCACATCAACACTTGCCCGCTTCAGGCTGCCCAGAGAGGCCTTCTCACGTTGCACCTGTCGGTTCAGGCCATCCAGTCTCTGTGAGGCCGATAGTTCATCGTTGCTCTCCGATGTGGGGCCCTTGTGGTACACCGAGTCATGGCCTCGTTGCGTCAGGGCCCGCAGCGCATCCTTCCGGGGGGCCGGGGGTGGCCGGGGCACCACGTCCTCTGAGGATCTGAAGTTGGCCACAGCATGGAAGGCCTGCAGACAAGAAAGAGGACCTCAGAGAGTGGCTACACAGGCACCTCGTCCACCCTCCTCTGACTAACACAGGGGCATGAGATGCATTCAGAGAGGCCAACCATATCATTAGGTAATCATATGTTTTCAATTTGTGATTGACGGGGCAGGGACACTGTGGGGGGCCAATCATCTTTCAGCTAAAGTCAGTGGCTCCGCACCGGTAGATATCCCTGGTCCAATTTCTGGTCACAATTCCCTAATCACCTGACCATGGACCAGACAAAATCACATACGCAAAGGCATACCAGGAAATCATCAGCCCCCAGATGAAATGTTACCTTAAAACCCCCCTCCCTCCCCGCACCCAATTTTACATGGAATATTACGTATCATGGAGTCCCTGTAAAATGCTGGGCAACTGTAAAGTGCCAGGTATCCCTGCTCCTCTGACACCCCTGCCTACACACGTCAAATGGTGTTTTGGGGGTGTCGGGGATGTGCTTTATTCAAGCATTAAGGATTGTTATGTGAGGGGAGGGACAGAGAGGGACAGGGAGACAAACCCCCTTCAGAGACGTCTGCTCAGGTTTTTTGTTACTTCAGTTTGTTTGTGTCTATTAGGAGCCCCAAACACCCCCGTTCCTTCTGCAGCTCCCCCATGTCACAGAGGCCAGGAGCCCGGAAGAGCTGCTCCACACTAAGGGCGCTTTTCCACCTCACCAGGTACTGTACTTTCGGTGCAATACTTTCAGTGCTCTCCCTTTTCCATTAGCTTCTGGTTGAGTACCAGTACCTGAAGTGCCAAACCAGCTGGGGTACTTTTTTGGTGCTTTAGTACTTTGGGGCGGGACGTGTAAATGATTTCTTTTGATTAGTTATGCAAATAGACTGCCTCTGAAACATAATACAATCACCGTCTTGAAAAAAGTTGCTAATTCATAAAACAATAAACAAAGTAAAAAGAAAAATAAAGTAAAAGACATAATAATGGATGCATGGACAAGTGAAAGACTCTTCAAAAAACTGTGATCTGTTCAAAAGAACAGATACAATAAGACCAGGATGCCATGAGAAGAAATTAAGTATAATACACTAGGACAGCACGGTATTATTTTGTTACAATAAATATTGAGGTGTTTATAAAGCAAAAAAGGAGTTCAACATAAATTTCTCACAAACCCATTTAAACAGCAAGAATGAAAATGGTCTTGGAGAATGCATGCAGCGCTCACGCAAAAGCAGCGGAGGTAAACTTTTAACCGATTTTTAAACATATACTAGTGATGTAAGAATTGCATGCGCAAAACATACAATGTTGGTATTAATATCCCACATCAGCCCTATAACATACTACAGGCATTTTTCTAATTCAGTACGAAATACCCTGCTTCGCATTGTGATGTAATTCAGCACTGATACCAGTTTTTATGACAATGGAAAGCGAACACCTTGAAGTACCACACTTTTGATACTTTCTTGAAGTACCAAAAGTACAGTACCAGGTGGGGTGGAAAAGCGCCCTAGTACACACTGAACCACACTGCTCATCTGATGGCAGCACATTTATATAATCCACATATTTCCCCAGCCTACGCAAGGTCGCTGGCTCACTGGAATATCTCTGAATCGGCTTTTTCTGTCTCCTGACTCCCTGGAAAAAACACCTCCATGTTGTCCAAGTTAATGTTCTCATGAAAGCAAGCTATGCTAATTAAACCTGCCAAATAACGGAAATTGATAACCTCAGACCTCGAGCAGATGCTGCTCGCGATCAAAAATGCGCTACGGCACAATGGCAGGAAGACGCAAGGCCAGGATCGGCCCGTGCTCGCGGGGTGCTGCTATTACATGCTCTATGGTGCCGTCGGTGTAATTATCGGGTTGGCTGGACACGCTACTTTCCTACCCTGCCTTCAGAAAGGACACACAACTCAATAATACCAACTGCACATCCTTTGCCTGTGATAAGGGACTTAATAAGAGACAGACAGAGAGATATGATGTAAAAATGTAACACAAAGGCCAGACATGGAAAAAACACACAAAAAGCAAAAGCTTCGGGATTGAGAGGTGGTATGAGAGGATAATATCCTCAACCTGTCTCTGTCAGAAAAAAAAACAAAGCAAGGAAGGTGAGGAGTGTGATAAAGGGGCCGAGCATGTACCTAAAAGGGGCCAAGCATGTCCCAAAGGGGCCAAGCATGTACCAAAGGGGCCGAGCATGTACCAAAGGGCCCGAGCATGTACCTAAAAGGGCCCGAGCATGTCCCAAAGGGCCCGAGCATGTCCCAAAGGGCCCGAGCATGTCCCTAAAGGGGATGACCATGTCCCCAAAGGGGCCAGGCATCCCATAAGGGGCCAGGCATCCCATAAGGGGCCAGGCATCCCACAGGAGCCAAGCATGTCCCAAAAGGGGCCAAGTGCTTCCCCAAAGAGGCCAAATATCTCACAGGAGCCATGCATATTCCCAAAGGGG